GTCTGTGTCATCTGTGCCCTGCTGTCATCTGGGAGGCTTCGCTGGGTGAGGGAGAAGGTAACACAGGTCTGTCCTTGCCCCGTGCGTGTACGATGGGGATGTTGGATTCTGGGGCTCTGCCGTACTGGTCTCAGCATTACTGCTAAGTTAGGTCTCCTCCTGGCCAATGGGGTATGTCAACCTCTAAGAGAAATGTATGAGGTTCAGTAGGTAGAAGTTTGGTAAATTCATACTGCAAGTAAGAGGTTTTTTGACAACAAAGAAATAATTCAAGCTTAGGCTTCAGTAGACTTATTAAAAGCTGCAGTCTGCAGGGAAGCCGCGTTAGCAAGAGATGCTCTAATAACAGGAATTGAAGTGGCAAGACCTGAAAATCTGTCTTATGTGGTAGATCAGGCTGGGTGAGCTTGTTCCCCGTCCCACTGACTATTACCCTCCTTGTGCCTGTAGTTTATGTAACTGTGAAGTCTGTGTGTATATAAAGTTTGTACCCTGTAAATACCTGCTGAGATCCAGGGGTTTCAAGCTTTGTTTTGATGTACTACTATTTGTCTTTTTTTGTTTTTTAATTTATTTTTTTAAAATCCTTTGATATCTCATGAGCTATTTGCCAAATTAAGGCAGGTGGGTTTCTTTTTGTCAGGTGAACTACATCTACTTTTTCTTGTGTTACTCTGAAAATGGATTTAGATACAAGAATCCAATCTCCCTAAACACAAAGAAGGAGTCTCATTTTCATTGTCATTCATCGTGCAGGGAAATTGAACAGTGTGTGTCTTCTTGAGGGCCTGTGAAACAGCAACAAAATAGGACATTACCTCTCTGGGTTGACAGGCTGCAATTTTTTGATGAGAGATAAGCAGGATAATTAGTAGATTGCCTAGCCTGAAAGTAATCCCTGTTTAGTGTAGGTGCAGGTGTGTGAATGGCTCGGCTTTACTCATGTTGTAATAGAGCCTCCTAATTCACAAGGGGTGGTTATTAAGAAATGGATACACTGGTCATCTTTGCCCTGGTGATGGGGAGGTTACCCTGGGCCAGAATGTCTGTTGAAAGTTTGGGTTGCAACTTTTTTTTCCCATTGGGGTGGTGGTGTGTGGTTGGTGGCAGGAAGGTGGTGACCTGGGGGGGTTCCATCCTGCACCCAGAGCTCTGGGGTCTCCTGTCCGAGTCCTGGGACAGGAGCTGGTGGATGAGCCTGTGCTGCCCGTTGAGAAATGCCTTGGAAGAGGGGCTGGGGACGAATATGCCTTAAATACTTATCCTGTAAAGAAATATGTCCATTTAGGATTATCAAGTATAAGGCCCTTCCTGAAATTAGGAGACTAAAGCCAGCTGGATCCTTGCTGCACCACCGGTAAGTGGTTCTGTGATGAGACCGTACTTGGGAGAGATGTGTTCCAAGATCCCAGTGTGTGGTTGGGAATATCACCCGGATCTCACGTGGCACCAGTGGGTCACTGGAGGTGTCTCACGCAAACGGCTTTTCTGACTTTTTTGTCAATTTTCTTTGGCGCAGTGAGTAAGATCCCAGTGTGTGGTTGGGAATATCACCTGGATCTCATGTGGCACCAGTGGGTCACTGGACTTTTTTGTCAATTTTCTTTGGTGCAGTGAGCGGAATGACTGAGCTTTCTGATGGGTTTGGGAAACTCTGTAAATAGGAAGAGGTCAAGTAAGCAGTTTGAAATTCCATAGGGAACATTTAGCTCTTTATTAGAAGAGGGGTTTTTTGATCAGAGCGGGGAACTGGGAATACTCAACAATATTAAAGTGTATGCCTGTGGGAGGGAAGAAGTGGACTATTTCCACAAAATGTGGTTTCAAATTCAAATAAGGGAGAGAAGCATTTTTAGCTGTGGTTCTCCCACACTAATCACTGGGCTATTTGGTAAATGCCACACCCTTTCCCTCCCCCTCGGTTTCTGTGCTGGTTCCAGTTCACAAGGCAAGCTGGAATAACACCTACCAGCTTAATGTCTAAATGTGATTTGAATACAAGGGTAGCCAGAAATGATGAAAGCTGCTGGAAGTCTTGGTTCACAAGCTGATTAAGGTTGGAAGATGCTATTCCCAGAACATCATGGAAAAATATCTTGTTCCACATCACGAGCAAATGAAATGGGAAGCTGCAAAAGGAGAATTTGAACTGATTTTATTGCAATAATCTATAGAAAGTCACAATTAAATGCGAGGCAGCATTTAAGTCCAGTCTCTGAATGAATGGCTGTGAAGTTCCTGCCTCCTGTGTTCCCTCTAGAAGGGTTGGTGTGAACGAATGGGAAGGGCTAAATAGAAGCTGGCTGGGTGTAGGCAAATGACCAGGGAGAGTCAGTTGCCAGGGTTCCTGTGGCAGAAGAAACAGCATGGAAAATTGGAATAGAAGCCAGTGAGCAGAAGGGTGAGTGATGTAAAGGGTCAAAGCCTCTGCTTCACATCTGGTGCTGTGATTAGTGGTCTCTTAGTTGTGCTTATGGGTGCTCTTCTAATTAATGCTGTGAGTGGGAATGTTTCTCCATGGATGAATCCATCTAACAGCTATTGGTAGTTTAGGGAGGTCTTTTTTCAGCAGCCTCTTCCAGTCCGTGTGTGAACTCAGGAGTGAACCCTAACGGTGTGTAATACAGGTGGGGAAATACAGGCAGGTCCTGCAGAGCTCGAGGGGGTGAGTGTTGATGTGGGCACATGAAGAGACACAGACACCCCCACCCCCCAAGAGAGGTTGTTGAGAAGTCAAAAAAAAGTTAAAAATGGCTTATAAAATAACCAGGTTATGCTGTTATCTCCTGATTCCTTCAAGTGCTGTCTTTCTGCCATTAATGGTGAGCCCCTCCTTCGACTGGGGGTGGGACAGGGAAGGGTCTGCCCTCTTTGCAGAGCTGAATGGTGCCAAGTTTGTTTTCTGACCTTGGGGGCACTTCTGATTTTTGTTTTTTTTCCTATTCATTAATTTTCCTTTTCCAAGGCAAGGAAGACCCTTTACCACTGCTTTATGTAGACGTTGTGTTCTGGATGCTGGGTTTCCTGTTCCTTTCCTTTTAGATCCAGCATCACTTCCAAAAGGGAGCAGGTTCTGCCAGGCAGAGGAGGAATAGCTGCAGTCAGAATTCTAGAGAAGTAAATGTCAGCACAGATGAAGCATCAAGGAAAGAAGCCCTAAAGGCCTCCCTCCTGGCTCCTGGGCTCCCAGTTGTGTTCAAAACAGCTACATAGGTATGGCCAGTACTGATTAATGGTCTATTTTAACTTGTGTAAAAAAAAAAAAAAAAACCAGCTCCAATCTGCAAAGGTTGGGTTGCAGGGGCTGAATATAACACAAAGCAACACTTACAACAGGGTGAGCTGTTTGTGAAAGGAGAGGTTCCCCTCCATCAGCTGTTCACAACCACTGACAGACGTGGATCACATGGAGCCTCTGAGCAGGTTGCTACAGCCCGTAGGATGGTTGACTTGACATTGTGTTGACAATTTGCTTGCTTTATTTGCTTACAAAACTGCTGGCTTGTCAGGGGCCAGTACCAAGCTGCAGTGGGCTGTTAGAGAGATGGCAGGTTACATACCAGCCTAGAATAAATCAAAACTAACAAAAAAAAAAAAATTGAGGCCAGTTATGAATAGCCCCTGTCTCCAGAGAGGCTTAAACCAGGCATAGGGCCCATCTCTTGATGTTCTGGCCACCAGAAGCAAAGGTTTGAGTTACTGGAAGCGGGTCCTGGGGTGGTGCCCCCCAACCCAACACCCCCCAGGCTGCAGCAAAGCATTGCCCTGGACATCACCCTGTGTCACATCTTGTTTCCTTCTTTCTCCTACCAGGTCCTGCAGAGCTCGAGGGGGTGAGTGTTGAGGTGGGCACATGAAGAGACACAGACACCCCCACCCCCCAAGAGAGGTTGTTGAGAAGTCAAAAAAAAGTTAAAAATGGCTTATAAAATAACCAGGTTATGCTGTTATCTCCTGATTCCTTCAAGTGCTGTCTTTCTGTCATTAATGGTGAGCCCCTCCTTCGACTGGGGGTGGGACAGGGAAGGGTCTGCCCTCTTTTCAGAGCTGAATGGAGTTTGTTTTCTAACCTTGGGGGCACTTCTGATTTTTGGTTTTTTTCCTATTCATTAATTTTCCTTTTCCAAGGCAAGGAAGACCCTTTACCACTGCTTTATGTAGACGTTGTGTTCTGGATGCTGGGTTTCCTGTTCCTTTCCTTTTAGATCCAGCATCACTTCCAAAAGGGAGCAGGTTCTGCCAGGCAGAGGAGGAATAGCTGCAGTCAGAATTCTAGAGAAGTAAATGTCAGCACAGATGAAGCATCAAGGAAAGAAGCCCTAAAGGCCTCCCTCCTGGCTCCTGGGCTCCCAGTTGTGTTCAAAACAGCTAAATAGGTATGGCCAGTACTGATTAATGGTCTATTTTAACTTGTGTAAAAAAAAAAAAAAAAAACCAGCTCCAATCTGCAAAGGTTGGGTTGCAGGGGCTGAATATAACACAAAGCAACACTTACAACAGGGTGAGCTGTTTGTGAAAGGAGAGGTTCCCCTCCATCAGCTGTTCACAACCACTGACAGACGTGGATCACATGGAGCCTCTGAGCAGGTTGCTACAGCCCGTAGGATGGTTGACTTGACATTGTGTTGACAATTTGCTTGCTTTATTTGCTTACAAAACTGCTGGCTTGTCAGGGGCCAGTACCAAGCTGCAGTGGGCTGTTAGAGAGATGGCAGGTTACATACCAGCCTAGAATAAATCAAAACTAACAAAAAAAAAAAAAATTGAGGCCAGTTATGAATAACCCCTGTCTCCAGGGAGGCTTAAACCAGGCACAGGGCCCATCTCTTGATGTTCTGGCCACCAGAAGCAAAGGTTTGAGTTACTGGAAGCGGGTCCTGGGGTGGTGCCCCCCAACCCAACACCCCCCAGGCTGCAGCAAAGCATTGCCCTGGACATCACCCTGTGTCACATCTTGTTTCCTTCTTTCTCCTACACCTTCCCCAAACCCCATTCATTAATTCAGACACCCCCTCTCCATTTTAATAGAGTTCATTTTCCCCCAACCTTTTGGGAGAGCAGGAAGCTTTACAATACTGTATAAAACCAGTAATTGTTAATACAGAGCGTGGTTACAGCAACAGCTTAGAGTTTTACATTCATGTTTCCACCGTGCTGCTGGAGTTCTTTCTGCATTGAAAACAGGGTTGGCTGAAACTCAGACAAACGGGAGACATTTCTGTGAGTGAGGAAATCATTGACATCATTGCTATTTTTAACGCACCAGAAGGCTGTTCTAATACAAGAAATTTATTCCCTGATATTAAAAACAGGACATGAAGGGTTAACGAACATACAGGAGGCAGATTGTGATGGCAGTTTATAGAGGGTGCCCCCAACCCAAAAAAAAAAAAATTGCAGCATTTTCAGTCTTTCAAACACAGCATGAGATAGTCAGTTGCATCCTTTTTATTTCAAATGCAGGATAATTCCCTGAGTACGCAGCTTTTGTTTTACTTAAATAAAACTTTTCCAGAACTTAAAATAACCTGTGGAACAAGTTCCCGCAGCTGCCGGTGAGCTGGAGACCACACGTTCTTTGGCCCAGGGAAGGGGAGGCCTTGGCAGGAGCTCTCTCACTGGTCCTGTCCCAGGTGTCACACGGCCCCGAGAGGGTGCCCCCAACCCAAAAAAAAAAAAATTGCAGCATTTTCAGTCTTTCAAACACAGCATGAGATAGTCAGTTGCATCCTTTTTATTTCAAATGCAGGATAATTCCCTGAGTACGCAGCTTTTGTTTTACTTAAATAAAACTTTTCCAGAACTTAAAATAACCTGTGGAACAAGTTCCCGCAGCTGCCGGTGAGCTGGAGACCACACGTTCTTTGGCCCAGGGAAGGGGAGGCCTTGGCAGGAGCTCTCTCACTGGTCCTGTCCCAGGTGTCACACGGCCCCGTCCCCAGCCTCCTCCGGCGCAGCCGCCTCCCCCGCAGCCACAGCTCCTCGCCGACCCAGCTCTGGGCTCTGAATGACTCTTTGACTACTCTGCCATAAAAGGGATTTTTCATATTTGGTCTTAAAAAGTAATCCGTGACCTGAAGGAGCGAGGGTGGGGGGAAGGAGAGGGAAAAAGATCAGAAAAAAACAACTGAATTGAGATGTCGACACCGGGAAATAGCTCATTCTTTATAGTTATAACAAATGGGTCCTCAGAGGCTGGAAATTCTGCATCTCAGAGCTTTGGAGCAGAAGAAATTCTATACATAGGGTGAAGAGCGGGCTTTTAAACTGGCATTATAAATTTGTATATAGCTATACAATGTGTATATATACACACATATATATATGTATGTAGATTTTAACAAACACACCCCCCATAAACCAAAGGTGACAGTAACAGCCACACGTGGGAGAGGAGGTTTTTGGTCAACGACTCAGAGGGGGCGGCCGCACTCACCGGGACAGTCTGCTGTCTCTTTGAACGCTCTCTTCTTACAGCATCCTCGGCACATGTTAAACACACATTTATTGCCCTGGGGTGTAAAGAAGCTTGTATCAGTGAAAATAAAATTATTATTGTTTACTCTAATGAGCAGTAACAACAATACAGCTCTGCACACTCAGACCTTGGGGAAAAAAAGCATGAACGCGTGTATTAGGGCAGTCATGATGAAGCTGAGGGGAGCCATTATCAACTGTTTGCATTTCAAGAACAAAAAATAAAACAAAATAAACAAAAAAACCCTCCCCCTTCAACTTCTGCAACATCCCTTGGGCAGCCCGAGTTACACAACACAAGCGGGCACATGCCACAAGCACTTTGGAACAAGTCTCTCTCCACCCCAATTCAAAATTCCTTCATGTTTAGGGAGCCTCGGTTGAACTTATTGTTTGTTTGCTTTTTTGTTGTTTCCCCCCCCCCATCCCATGACATGGCTTAGAAACATGAGCTAGAAAAAACACAACCCCAGACACCAACCCAGACCCAGGCACAAGATTTCAAGGGCTGAAACATGGCAATGGTGTAAGAGGAAAACAAAGCCAAGAGCAAGCCCAGCTGCGGGCGGTCACGTCAGAGCACCAAGCTGTGTCACCTGGATTAGCCATGAAACAGGACGGCTTGAAAGCCAGCCAGATGAATGCTCAATGTTTTCCCAATAATTAACAGAGCAAAAAGAATATTTTCTCCTGTGGCTACAGCTCCAAACGGAGCACCGGCTGGCTGCTGTTTCTAAAGTGTCACAGAAGAGCAATACCCCATGCCTGTGTCCCCATGTCCCCACTCCTGTAGCTGTAAGGCTACTTTTTCTGCTAGAAATGAACACCTTACGCCCTGCTTGTATGTCTGTGTGCAGAAGTACATTAGCAGCAATAAATCAAAGAATCACAGAATGGTTGGAGTTGGAAGTGACCTTAAAGATCATCCAGTGCCACCCCCTGCCCTGGGCAGGGACACCTCCCACCAGACCAGGTTGCTCCAAGCCCCATCCAGCCTGGCCTTGAACCCCTCCAGGGATGGGGCAGCCACAGCTTCTCTGGGCAACCTGGGCCAGGCTCTCACCACCCCCACAGCAAAGAATTCCTTTCTGGTATCTAAACTAAATCTCCCCTCTTTCAGTTTAAAATCGTTCCCCCTCATCCTATCACTATGCAGCTCAGGGTGCGGGGGGCTTTCTGGGCCACCAGCACACATTGCCTGCTCATGGCCAGCTTTTCCCCCCTCCAGCACCTCCAAGTCCTTCTCCTCAGGGCTGCCCTCCATCCCATCCCTCAGCCGTGTCAACCACCCCACACAGCCTGGTGTCATCCACAGACCTGCTGTCTATATGGTGAACCACCCCACACAGCCTGGTGTCATCCACAAACCTGCTGTCTATATGGTGCTGGTCCCAATACAGACCCCTGAGGGACACCACTTGTCACCCATCTCCATCCTACATTGAGCCATTGACGGCTACATGGGCATTTAATAGTCCCAATACAGACCCCTGAGGGACACCACTCCTCACCCATCTCCATCCTGACATTGAGCCATTGACCCCTACATGGTCATTTAATTTCCATGTAATGGAAATGCTTTAATGGACACTGGCACTGACTTACCTTAGGGTTTCCACATTGATCACATTTTGCATATTTCGCTGGAAAAAAGAGAGACCTGATTTCAGCAATGGTAAGTTAAAAAAACCCCAGGATCAGACAAAGCCTGGTGCTTTTCTAGCCAGAGAGAAACTGGTTTTGAAATAAAAATGAAGTGCCTCAAAGAACAGTGCAAAGGTAAAGATACTTTGACTTTTTAAGTGCCTCTAAGATAAATCCAAGCAGAGAATTTTAATCCTCAAATAAAGCGTAAATGATGAGGACCATCTGCTTGAAACGCATATGAAATTCCAATTTCAAATACTAGAGACAGTTACAATTTAGCTTTGTAAATCATTTTGATCTTAAAAAGATTCTTATAGTGGATGAGTGACCTCCTTCTTTGTTTACTAATGAACATAATTTGAATCAAGTCACCTACCACCAGAACTTCCCAACAACCCCCCTCTTTTAAAAGAAGTTTCTACAACTACATGGACAAGGAAAACAAACAGTGGCAATTTATATCAGATGTGATATCAGCAACTTTACATGCAGTTATGCCAATAAATGGAACTTACGTTTTAAAGATGGATCAAAGCTTTTATTTGGATTTCTTAACTTCTTTTTTTGCTTATTCTTTGACAGAAGCTCAGAATTTCCATCTTCTTCCTCTTCCAGAGCACGTTTTCCTCGCACACCTTTTTCAGTCCCACTGTCTCCATTCTCCTTGCATCTCTCCTTTGGCCTGAAACAGTGAATACCATCGTAAGTCAGCTGAAGGGAAGAAGCAGGTGTTCCCTGGCCACTATTCTGGTTTAGAGAAACCAGGGTAAACTGTAAACCTTTCTATTGTGGCTAAATAACAGGGAATTGTCATTGCCCTCTGGTTTAGAGAAACCAGGGTAAACTGTAAACCTTTCTGTTGTGGCTAAATAACAGGGAGTTATAAAATATAGCAGTGGAATATAAAAACCTAACTTTTTTGTTACTGTTGGCTGTTAATAACAGACACACTGCCAGATATATCGCTTGGAAAGTCAATAGAAGTTGGCCAGTTAAATTAGTTAAGGCACCTGCCAACCTGTTATTCCTAAGCTTTACTTTAGTGTTTACTTAATTTAGTGGAGTATTACTCTTAATGTGCTCGTTCTCTCCTTCAGTCCAATTTTCACAACAAAAAGGGAATAAGGTATTTGAAAAGCCTGACCACACAAACACAAGCATCCTTTACAGAACACAATCTACTTCCCATCTTTGCTACCCTGGCAGTGACCAGCAACATTTGTGTTATGTATAACAATAAAGAACTGTCAGTAGCCTATCTATCTGTGGCACATCAGATTCTTTCTGAGCTGCAGTTCAGTGGAATTCTTGGTTTTTACTTTCTAGAGGGAAATCTGAGGAGGATCTAAAGGAGAAGATGCGTACCATGAGCAATATCCCCACAAACAAAGCAATAACTGTGAAAAAAACAAACCAGAATAAAGATAATCAATTTTCTTCACTTATTATCAAAATAATATAAGCTCCTAGAACAGGAGTGGATGGCTCTGCAGTGACAGCACGGGGGGGAAAGGTCTGTGTTAGAATAGAAAACTCACCCCGGCCTGATGTACGGCTGACAGATCCAGTGGAAAAAAGGCAACCCTTCTTTCGGCTTTTCTCCTTCTTTCTGATTAGCTATTTCTTCCTGCAGCACAGAGTTACAGTCAGTTTTCCTGGAGTTTTCAGGAAATACTCTACATAATACTTCCAACTCCAGGAAAAAACAGATTGGAATTTAAATTAACAGTTACTGGCAGTTACATATAGGCAAAAAACCCCTAGTAAGACAGATTAATTGAAGCAGATTTGTAACTCCTAAATCAACTTTATCCCACGTAAAGCTGTTCAGGCTTAAGGGGCTGCTACTGGAGTAAACTACCAAAACCAAGGTTGGTAAGCCACAGCCTTCAGTGGAGTGACTAACGGACACCAACTGCAGGACAGACATGCTCAGTCCCCACCAAGAGTGGACAGTGTTGTTCTGGGAGATCAGGGCCCAGCTTGGTACCTGGCATCGTAGTTTCAGCTCCCTGTTGACATCTACAATGCCCTCTAGAGTCTTCACTTTTGCTAATTCTTCACGCAGCTGCTGGTAAACTTGAAGCCTGAGGCAAATCCCAAACATCAAGTCATATTCATTCATTATTGCTAGACTGAGGAGATCAACTAAAAATGTCTTTATAAAAGCTTTTTATAGATTTTTTTTTTCTTGCTGCACTTGCCTTTGTTAGAAGCTTATCTTAAGTCCAGAGAGAAGCACACACACACCTGCTCCTCTTTTCCCAATAAATACTTGGCAGACAACCAAGGTGCTTAGAGATAAGTGAACACGAACGTAGAGCACATCAGCTGCTCCCCAGGAACTGCCCGTGCTCTTACTCCACACGGGGTGCAAGGCAGTTTGCCTCACAGCAAACCAGGAGCTCCTTAACTCCTGTTGGCCACGAAGCGCGTGTGCGCGTCCGGGCAATTGCCACACGGCAGCTGATGGGCTGTGAGCCCTGGATTATCTTGTGAAAATGTGTTCATTCCCCGTGTCCTGTTTCCCCAGATACGCAGGGAAGGGGGTAAAGGCCTCAGCCCACATTCTCTCCAACCAAGTCCGGGACAGAAAACCTTGCAGCAATACTAATTCTGGCCAAACAAATCCTTGTCTAGAAAAGCCAGACACTTGCTAAGCAGGATGAGCCCTGAAAACATTAAGAGTTCTCTGGAGATACTCACGTGTGATGCCAGAGCTTGAAGAGATGAGCCCTAACATAAGACAATGGACAAGGGTACTTCTGCACTATCTCCAGATACTCCTCAGCCATCTCCCACACCAAGGGGTTCCGGCCCTCAAACAAAGCTGGGTTATGAAGATTACCTTCTAGGGAATGAAAAGAAATACTCAAACTTTCATTTCAGGATTGAAACAGAAAACAAAATCTAGGCTCTGGAGCTTCATCAGCTCCGTTGTGATTCAACCAGCCTGTCACAGACACATCAGCCATGTACTCAACAAAGAGGAACACAGGGTCCACAGAGCTCTAGCCTGACCTCTGGATACTGTCATTCACTATACAATTCTTAATTAGCCAAATAGCTCATATATAATTGAAGCACGTTTGCCAGAAAGGCATCCAGTCTTGATACAAAGACAGCCACAAAATTAATAAATAGAAAAATCACTGCTTTTGTTGCCCAGTGATTAAATATCTGGACAATGGGTGTCTTACCTTACGTCTGTATTCACATTTGTCTGGCCTAAGTTTACAGACACCACTTCTCATTATGCTTTTCTCTACTAGCTTCACAAGCCTTTTGTTAACCAGTATTTGCTAAAAATAAGATTCTACAACCTCCCAGAAAATACATTTGATCACTTTAACTGTGCAATTGGAAGCTTCTTCTGATGTTTATCCTAGCTCTTCCTGTAGGAAGTTATGGCAATTCTTTCTTGTCCCAACCCAGTATGAACCATCTGCAGGAATATTATCAGTGGACACACTTAGTGCATCAAGATCCATTCAAAAACCATCCCGTTGATTAACAGATGTCATGAAAATACTCCAGGACAACAGGAGCCCCATGTGCCTTTGCCAAGTAATTAATCTGAGCTCTCCACTCAATGCTACTACAACTCCAACATAACAATTCTTACAAATCTTAGGTGATTCGTGACCCTGGTGAGAGATGGCCAGTACGAGAGGAGAGAGAATGGCCACTCAGCTTTCAGTCAGAGCTGTTCACCAAGTCAGTCTGACCATAAGCTTTTAATAAATGTGTACGGGGCTGCTAAGGGAGTAATAAACAGTTCATATTCTCATCTATTATAAGTAAAAGTTAATTTTCTTACCTGCACTCATGACACCGTGCACTCCTGTCTTACGGATACATTCTTCCACATCACTGAGACACTGGATGTTTCCATTTGCAAATACAGGAATGCTTACAGCTTTTCTATACCAGTGAATAAAACAGATGCATAAAATTGAAAATTAGAGTCCAGCCAGAAATTCTACTCCTGTACACCAATTTGGTTGCTCTTCAATGTCACTGCACACTCTGTTTAACACCCACTAAGGCTGGTACTGCTCACTAACCTGACAGCTTGAATGTGCTCCCAAGATGCCACACCAGCAAGAGGTCCTTTCTGTTCTTTAGTGCGGCCGTGCACGGTCAGCAGCTAGAACACAAAGTCACATTTACTTTTCATGTGTAATGAGCCACTGGAACAAATCCACTGACAAAAAATTTCCTTTTACCCCATACACTTTGTGGATGCCACTGAATTCCCTCTGCTGTTTCAACAGTGCAGAGACTTTGGTAGCACAGAAAGGTCTCAGCCGCTCACCTACCGTGGCAGGGCCTCGGGCTTCTTTCAGCTCACTATTCCACAGCACAAGAGTGTACCTTGGGGGAACCTCCAGATCCCCTATTGCACTGGCTCCCATTAGTGATTCATTATGGAATTTGTGATATGTTGACCTGTCTTGCTCCTCAGCAGAAGGCACCCTGGTGAGAGATGGCCAGTACGAGAGGATAGAGAATGGCCACTCAGCTTTCAGTCAGAGCTGTTCACCAAGTCAGTCTGACCATAAGCTTTTAATAAATGTGTACGGGGCTGCTAAGGGAGTAATAAACAGTTCATATTCTCATCTATTATAAGTAAAAGTTAATTTTCTTACCTGCACTCATGACACCGTGCACTCCTGTCTTACGGATACATTCTTCCACATCACTGAGACACTGGATGTTTCCATTTGCAAATACAGGAATGCTTACAGCTTTTCTATACCAGTGAATAAAAGAGATGCATAAAATTGAAAATTAGAGTCCAGCCAGAAATTCTACTCCTGTACACCAATTTGGTTGCTCTTCAATGTCACTGCACACTCTGTTTAACACCCACTAAGGCTGGTACTGCTCACTAACCTGACAGCTTGAATGTGCTCCCAAGATGCCACACCAGCAAGAGGTCCTTTCTGTTCTTTAGTGCGGCCGTGCACGGTCAGCAGCTAGAACACAAAGTCACATTTACTTTTCATGTGTAATGAGCCACTGGAACAAATCCACTGACAAAAAATTTCCTTTTACCCCATACACTTTGTGGATGCCACTGAATTCCCTCTGCTGTTTCAACAGTGCAGAGACTTTGGTAGCACAGAAAGGTCTCAGCCGCTCACCTACCGTGGCAGGGCCTCGGGCTTCTTTCAGCTCACTATTCCACAGCACAACAAGAGCGTACCTTGGGGGAACCTCCAGATCCCCTATTGCACTGGCTCCCATTAGTGATTCATTATGGAATTTGTGATATGTTGACCTGTCTTGCTCCTCAGCAGAAGGCCTGAATACTGTCAGTACTGGCCCTAACTATAGACCATCTCTTCCAATTTAAATCCTAGAAGGCTGCCTATTTCTTAGATACTGTTTTTTTTTTCCATAGCCCTGTGGATTTTAGGCATTTGCACTGCCTCCTGCAGTTAGACTGAGATGCTCGGCCACATGAGGGACGCTGCGCTGTGCAGTGATTACAAGAGAGACTCTGAAGTCATGATGCCTTCCATATCATGCTATGGACCTGCTGCCTATGACTCCAAATACCTGCAGTCTCTCTGCGTCCCGTTTTCTCTGTCTGTAAAACAATGCAGCCTGTTCATCTCCACAGTACACCAAGATCTGCTCATCAGATGCTTTACACAGAGACACGTGTCCAATGCAAGAGTAGAGGGAGCAGCTGCCTCCTTACCTGGCAGCCAGCTTTCTCCAGCATCTGTGCATACTTCACTGTCTTGTCAATTTCTGGGAAAACGCGGATTTTGCATGTGATGGGAACAGAGAGCTTCTCGTTAGCCAGTAAAACTGGGAAAGATTGAAAAGACAGGTAAGTGGGCTGCACAATGCTATGAAAAGCGCCTACTCTCCTCACGGTCTGATACTGGGTGTGGTAGGGAAAAACCCTGGAAAGTTAATGCTATGCAGTTCTCACAGCTTAAACAATCAGCAATGTCCTCTGCAATCCTTATTGCACAGGTTAATCAAGTAATAGTAACACATGAAGCACAAAATCTACATTCTAACGAGAAGGCATAAAATAGTCAGTATTTAATGGCCCTAACCTTTCTGCTGCATCAAACCTTCACTTTCAAGGACCACCCCCCTCAAATCTCAATCATTGATAGAGGTTTTCTCTCATCACAGGCTATTGTACCCCCACTATTCTGCCAACAACATTAATAGTGGCTTGTCTACCTTTCCTGCAAGAGATGCCATGCTTCTTTTCAAATTATCACCCAAACAATCATGACAAGTAGAGTCTTGTCCATGCTAAGCAGAGGCTTATCAACTGCGGGAGGCTGTGGACCCAATTAAGTAGTAACTGTAGGTTACAGAGTCAGAGTGCTACCTGGAACAACCTGTTAAACTCCCATAGTCTTTACACAGTGCATAGACTCAGAAAACTACTAAAAAGAGAGCAATCAAAGACAGCCAACAGGAGAACACTGAGCAATTGCATGCCTGAAACTCCCTTCTCTTCCAGAGCTTGGATGTGTAATGTAAGAAGTCACCCGCTTTCTTCTGATCCAAACCCTAGAAACTCTAATGATAGGTACGTCCTATCAGGCTTTCACAGGAGTGAGCAGGGTGTACACAGGTGAAAGCAGAAAATAGCACTCCATCATTTTAAAGAAGGCTGGGGGAGAAAGGGGAAGAGGAAGCTTTGACCCCCTTTTACCCAACGGCCCAGTAAGACAACTGTCTTACTTGGCAGCCTGGGTTCTCACCCAACTAGATGGCCTGGGTTCTCCTCTCACCTTGAGGCTGTTCCCATTTGCATCCCTCATTCCTAAGGAAAGTGCCCCAGCAACTACCTTACATGCTGGGCAGGGAAGCACTGTCTGTCTTTCCAGGTTCTCAGCAGTGTCTTTGTGCCAAACATCACTCAAGATTCCCTGGACCCTGTTTAACTTCACCATTCAGACACTTGCTTTGAAGCAGGGCAAAGGCACATTCTCAGCTCTACACAATGACCAAAACCTTGCTTTTAAAATCAGTTCCAAATGCATTTCTTAAAAAATTATGATCCAGTTCACAACTGCTACTGATAGCCTGAAAAGATCCTGTAAAAATTTGGAGAAGGGTGGTGTAACTTGCTATGGTGTGGGCAGAAAGAGCCTGCTGAGTTGATCAGAAAAGGGCAATTGTGGCTGTAAGCAGAAACACAGCTCCTGGCACCCGAGAGCTTCCGAGTGAAAAAGAAAGGCACTGGGAATTCTGCTGTTTCTAGAGCTGAAGAGGCACTAAGCCACCATTAGACTGGGATTCAATTGACTCACTTCCACCTAAAGTCTCTTTCAGGTACTGAAGTCTTTTAGCAGATCCAGCATGAGTTTGTAGTGGGATACCACCAAGTATGTTGAGGGTGCCACTAGAATACAGTGAGAACGGAAAAAAAAACCCCAAACACAACCCTCCCCAAAGAAACATGCTGCACCTCCTTTCCCCAAAAATCCCTAAACCTCCTCTCCACAAGTTCATCCCGTTCCCTCTGAAAGTGAAGCCTCTCTAAAGACTTACTCATTCTCTGAAGAAGATCCCACTCCTCTTGCAGAAATGCTCCGTAGTGACCTGTAATAAAATAGCAAATGAGAAACTTGTGGAGAAGAGTAAGACTCTGAGGTACCCAGCTTTCACAAACCTTCACATACAAAGATCCAGACACTCATCCGTCTCCCTGGCAGAAACAGAGTTGCTTTGTCCTGCCCAAACTGGAAGAGTTGGATCGTTCTGTTCCCCACACCACCCTGGATTTACAGGATAAACAATGAATCCCCACACCCTACTTTCACCCCTACTTCCATGGGCTGGTGCGTTGACACTGGCAGCTCAAAGTCCAACTTTTTATACCAGCTGTTTAAAAATTCCCTTCAGGATAAAACCTGATCATATGGAAAGATCTGTTTGCCCTGGATCGTTTCCTATTAGTCTTAGAAAGACATTTTAGAAGAGGAATGGGCAGTTACTGAACAAATCTTTCCTCGACATCCTGACTGCTTTTTATACCAGCTGTTTAAAAATTCCCTTCAGGATAAAACCTGATCATATGGAAAGATCTGTTTGCCCTGGACATCACTGACCGTTTCCTATCAGTCTTAGAAAGACATTTTAGAAGAGGAATGGGCAGTTACTGAACAAATCTTTCCTCAACATCCTAATCATCCAAAATTTTCAAACGCTGGTCGTGGTTTTCAAACATAGCTATCCTTGGAATACCTCTAAGAGATTCAGCAGGTGTTATCCTCTTACACACTGATGTGAACAAACTGTGCAAGTATCATGGAAACAGGAGACACTAAGTGCCCGCGTGATATAATTTTAAATGCAGTTTTACAAAATTAGGCTGTTTGAACAACTGAAATCAGAAAGAAAATCAAGCTCTTGCTAAAAATACTTTTTCTGATGGATATTCTAGACACAACAGCCGTCACTCAAGAGAAGCTGGAATTAATTATTAGTATATCTGATTTTTGCTTTAGGTACTGCAAAACATTACCTGTTAAAGTAGGTGTAACTAAGTCTGACTTCAGCAGTACTAGAGCCACCCCCTGCCCCAAAGCTTCTTTTGGTCCCCTGGATGTTTTACTTCCAATATTCACATTTGAAACATGCGATTTCTGTTTATCCAGTGTTCAGATTTGCACGTACCTCTCTTTGCAATCATTTGGGGGCAACCCAAATTTAGGTCTATGGCATCGCAATAATCTTGAGCCAACAGGGCTGCCTGGACAAACACTTCAGGGTCGTTGGCACAGAACTGAGAAAGACAAAGAGAAGTGGAATAATCAGGAGAAAGCTTTCTTCAAGTATTGACAACACGTTATGACATCAGTTATAAGCAACTACTTGCTACTGAAAACAGGCATAATATGCACAGTTAATAACAGAATACATCATTTCTCAAAAAAAAAGAAAACCCCAAACAAAAACTGTGACACTTACCAGCTAAAGATCCTCAACCTTCAAATGACAAAATGAGAAAGATGAGCATTCAAGAGGCAAAGAATATTTTACATGTAGTACCCAAGACTAAGAGGGAACAACTACTAAAATTCCCTATAGAACAAACAGCTGTAGCATTTTAATACATAAAGGTGGTGCAGAAGAAAAGAGTTACCTGTGGTGTCTCTGGGTCTCGAGACAAATCAAACTTTGTAGATACCAATAAGCACCACTGCCTCCAAAATTAATTCCCATTAGTGTGGAGTGTGAAACAGACACATAGGGCTGTTAGTCAAATGCTCAGTCTTAAATATAATCAATATTACATCTGAAGCACAGTGCAAAAATCAATTTATTAAGAAAAAGACAGCTGAAAGCCTCCAACCAAGGCCCATCAGGGAGGATTTTTACACAGTAACCAAAGCCCACAGGGCAGGCTGGGCTCGGATGTACCCCTGCCTGATCTGTTTCCAAGAACCTGTGACCAAAACCCAAACCTGCCCAGAAATATGGCAGAATTCAGTAAGGATTGCTGTACCGGGTCCAGCCAAGGATTAATCCAGGTTGGTCTGTGCCTTGTGTCCAAGAGCAGCGAGCGGGAAGAAGCTCACAGTAGCTGACACCCTTTGGGAAGGTTCACCCAGAACACGCAGCCTACTGAGCTGCAGATCTGTGTTCAAAACACTTAAGAGCTTTCTAAGACTATTAAATTTCTGCCACCTGTATTTTTGTGTGGCAAAAGTAGCTACCTCCCACAGAAAAAGGAGAACAAACAAAGCTGTACTGAGGCAGACCAAAGGTCCACCTCATCCTGCTCTGATAACGGTCAGCAGATGCCTCGGGAAGAGCAGAAGCTGGAAAGCCTCTTCAGTGACTTTGGAAGCAGAAGTGGTGTTTCCTGCACCTAATGACCCTCAGTAGAGTTTTCCTTCGTTTGCTTTTTGAACTTATGCAATCTTTCAGCATCCAGTACATCCCCCAGTAATTAAATTTTGCAGTTTATAGCTATCATTACCCTGGCTTAACACTTCCATCCCATTCCTCATTTTCAATCCAGTCATACTTTCAGAGACTTCATTAATCTCTCCCCTCAGTCAGGGGAGACAATTCTCTTCCAGGGTGAAGAGTCCTCCTCCATTTAAGTGCTCCCCATGTGGAAACCACACAATTCCTCTGCCTCTCCCTGCCCCACAGGCCCCTCTCCCTCTCTGGGTGGAGCACAGGGACGTACCTGAACCTCACACAGTGCTCCAGAAGCATCACAAGCTTGTAAGTGTCCCCTACCTTCCTTGTGTTCTTGTTCTGAAGCTGAGCACTGAGCTCATGGCTTCAGAGAACTACTCGAAAACCTGTGATCCTCCCCGAGCGGTATCAGATCTGGAACCACCCCTGTCTCTAAAAGACCAGCTGCACTCCGGGGAGACCTTACAGCAGCCTTCCAATATCTGAAGGGGCTACAGGAGAGCTGGGGAGGGACACTTTGTCAGGAAGTGTAGTGACAGGATGAGGGGTAACGGTTTTAAATTGGAAAAGGGGAGATTTAGGTTAGATATTAGGAAGAAATTCTTTGCTGTGAGGGTGGTGAGAGCCTGGCCCAGGTTGCCCAGAGAAGCTGTGGCTGCCCCATCCCTGGAGGGGTTCAAGGCCAGGTTGGAGGGGGCTTGGAGCAACCTGGTCTGGTGGGAGGTGTCCCTGCCCAGGGCAGGGGGCTGGAGCTGGATGATCTTTAAGGTCCCTTCCAACTCTAACCATTCTATGATTCTAAAGATGAGGTGCCAAGGAGTCTAGTGCCCTAGGCCCCTGTAGTCAGGACACCAAATCCTCTTTGCTAGGCAAGAGATAAACAGAAAAACTTTCTCTTCCTGAGCTAAGTGCTGTTAGAGGCATTTAGGTGAAGGAAACGAGACTGCTGTCATCCTCTACAATCACTTCATAAACCTGCCAGAGATCGCCTCGCTTGAACTCCTGCCCATCTGGGAGCCCCTGGATGTGCTGAGGCGGGTGAGGGGCCGCCCGGAGGCAGGGGGAGCCCGGGGGGCAGGGGGCGCCCGGGCCGGCCCCGCCGCCGTCTCCCCACTCTCACCTGCACGATGAGCGGCCGGTCCTCGGGACAGGCCTCGCCGTAGAGGTTCTCGCGGCGGTAGTTGGCGTCCCTGAGGAAGACCTGGGCGTGCAGCATGGGCGTGTAGCAGAGCTGGGCACCGTGGCGGCGGCTCAGCAGCCTCCAGGCCAGCTCGCTCTGGTCCACCATGGGCGCCACCACGTAGTGGGCGCTCCGTAGCGTCTCCCTCCAGAAGGCCTCCCCGCGCAGCTTCGGCATCTCCCGCCCGTGCGGCGCCGCGGGCACCGCCGTACCGGGGCTCGCAGCCACCGCCTGAGGCCCCGGAGGCGGGCGCGATGGCTGGGCCCTGGCGGGGCAGCGAGGCGGCCGGACGGTGCCACCGCCATCTCGCTCCGGCCGGATCCGCGGCGCAGCGCACGCCGTGTCCCCCCCGGAAACCGCGGCGCAGACAGCAGGGGCCGGGAGCGGCGGGGTCCGGCCCGGGGGAGGCCGCGCCGGTCGGGACCCCACAGGCTCCTCCTGTGGGGACGCGCCCGTGAGGGCGGATACGGACCCCCACGGACCGTGAGGCGGCCACCGCCGCTGCGGCCCGTGCCCCGAGCCCGCCCCCGCCGGGCCCGAGGGGGGCTGTGGGGCAGGCGCCCCGGTGAAGCGGCTGGTGGTCGGTAGGAGAGGTCGGGCCCAGGGGTCGCACCAACCCTCGGTGCCGGGGGGTGGAAAGGATCCGCCCGGCTCAGCCAAAAATAACAACATACACGACGAACCCGCTCCTTCTGGGGCGTTTTATAAAGCTACTGGCCACCAGCAAGCTGAGCCCGGGGGAAGATTTCCTCTTCTTATGTACCAGAACGTCCAAACTGCTTAATCTCTACTCCTGTCAAACCATCAACATAACTTTAGTTACAGGACTTGGGATGTTTGGTCTTCGAAAGGGGGAAACTCAAACAAAATCACAGTGTGTGGGAGACGTCCCAGCCTGTGGCAGGGGGTTGGAAACAAATGGTGTTCCCGGTCCCTTCCCACCCAAAGTCTGCTGGAGCCTCTCCGTTGTCCAGATCACTGACAAAGCCCACATTTCTCCTCCCCACCCCTAGTTTTCCAGCACTGGCGGCTGTGACGAACTCTGCTGCAAGAACTAGCTGAGCTTCAAGCTGCTCTCATTGTTTTCTACCATCTCCACTACCTTCTGGAGGCCTAAAGAACCAGTTCTGCTGTTTTAAATACCCAGCCTCTCCAGCCTTCCTTCAACACCCCCATTCCCTCTTACACAGCTGCTCTAGGGTTATTTTTTTCTTTCTTTCTTTTGACCCTGGTTTGCTCGCAAGGTGTCTGATCTTTAGTTACAGTAACTTAACTGATTGCAGGAGAAATAAACACCTGCTTCCTTTATGACTATTCTGCCTTAAATCTTTACTTGACCTCCATCTCAGCACCAGAAAGCTTCTTGACTGGGGTCTGGCATCATTGTTTAAAAGCACCGGGTCTGGTAAACTGTGACCCTTCCTGCATTTTTTTTCAGCTATCCTCTTTGGCAAAATTGGCATATTTCCCCTCAGAAATGTGGTAGAATAGAAGAAAGCAATAGTGTTGGTGGTGATGAGTAGATGTGCTGTGTGCAGTACGTTCTTAGTCTTACTATTAAGGCTATATTGTAGATTTAAGGCACACTGCTCACCATTGCAGAATAGCAATGTGACTTTGTGAGCCTAAATAAATTTATAGGGCCAGCAGGGGACTGTGATTTTCAGTCTCAAGATTACACTCTGCTGGTCTTAGAGAAGCCTCTGAGAAGCCAGCTGAAAAGAAGGGTGGAAAGTGAGTAGCAGTTGACAACAGATTCCCACTTTGTTTTCACATAAAAGGGTGTATGTGAAGGGCTCTGCTTCTGCCCTTGTCTTCTCAAAACAAGCAACTGCAGTATTTGATTTTACGTTATGCTCTTATTGTTTACCTATGTCTATCTGATGGACTACTGAGAAACAACAAGCCATACCAGCACTAATAAGGTTTTTATTTTTGGCACACTGGATTCAGCAGCCAGATACATAATGGGTTACAGGGCAGCAGCTCATAATTAGACAGTTGGGGGGGGAACCCCAAAACAAAACAACCTTCTGCTTTTCAAATAACAACCACAAGAACATTGAGAGCATATAGGCTATAAGTAATTCTTGAGGAACTTCTATTACTAAACCAGTACCTTCAAGCTTTGCTTAGATGAGGCCATGCATGTTTATGTTTATACAGAGAACTCGTCCCACTCCTGCTTCAACAGGTGGAAGAGCTTTAGTCCTTGCTCCCCCCACACCACCCATTCAGGCTCATTAAATACAGAACTAATGCACCTGTTTGTTCATCATGCCTTTCTTTTTCCTTCTAAGCTTTCAATACAACCCAGGCAAGTAGGATTCTTTCAACTCTTTTTTTCAGGCTCACTCTAACTGCCAGTACTTAAAATCAAAACAAACCAAATCCACATGTGGTTTATGTAGTATCCTGTGCTAGGATGTGCATGGATAGTACAGCGTAGATATAATGAAGTCCCAGCTCACATCACCACTCTTCAGCATTAGATTCTTTGCAGCTGTGAGGCACACTGCCTGCTTCCCTCCTTCTGTTACCACCCAACACCCAGTCACCGTACCTAACAACTTAATAGCATTTATACCCATTGCCTATCTAGCACTCTCAACGACCTTGAGGTAGATGCTATTAGTCCCATTTTACAGATGGGGAAACTGAGGCAGTAGCATTAATGGCTTGTCTAAAACCACAACGGTGGAGCCAGAATTAGAATTTGAGAGTTTCCATGTCAGTCTTGTGGGTGTGTTGCTTGGTTGTGTCTAAAGTACCAAAATCATGGCAACAAGAAGCCATGCTTCAGAATAATAAGTGTTCTTTATTATTGTTATTATTTCTACAGACTCCAAATGAGATATGCCAGCAGCAGTTTTTGCTTTATACCAAGAAATGAGAGATTCCAGGTGAAACACAGGATTAAGAAATGGTGGTAGAGAATGAGACAAAAAGCCAACCAGTGATCAATTCTGTTTAATACTAGGAAAGCCAAAGAGAAAAAGACACTCTTCAGACCAAAAAGTATTATAAAAAAAAAAAGAAAAAGAAAAAAGAACAAGACTTATTTTGGAGATGCTTTAAGCTGACATTATGTTGTTTTTATTTCAGATTTCACAAAAGAAATATGTTATAAAACTAAAACCAGTTAACCCAGCCACTATCAACAGAGGGTGGTATAAGCAAAAGACACTAGGTCAGAACCTGTAGTGAAGAGCCACCCATTCCTGTCACTGGAATGCTCCTGTACTAAACAGGACACTTCACTGGGGGATGAAAATGGAGGGAACTGGGGTTTTAGAGCAGTTCTGAGAGGCACAATGGCTCCTCCTATTTGGTGCTTTGCTGCTACCCAGGTCTCCTCTGTATCATAAGTGTAGCAAGGATTTACTGATTTCGGAAAGGACAGATCCAGCATAGCAAAGGCAAGAAAATTTTTAATTGAATTTTATGCAAGTTTCCCTTAAAAAGGTACTATACCTTAAAATCATACCAACAAACTGATTACTTAGCTAACTTATGTGGGATCTCCAGTCTCAGTAATGAGAGGAAAATGAATACACAAGGCTTAAGCAAGCCCTGTGCCAAATAAAACAGGGGCTTTGGGTAGATGCTTGTATGTTTGCCTGAGCTTTGGTTATGGGAGAGCAGGGGTAGGAGGATTTGTTCAGTTATCATTGAAGAATTCTATTTCTTGCCCCATTCCAAATGTCTGGTTGGGCGCTGAGCCTGGAGGTGGGAGGGAATAAAGGTAGAGCAATAGTCTTAATGCTTTACTAAGGTCCTGATCCAGCAGAGCACAGAACCTTGCACAAATATAAACAAAGTACCTGCCTAGGGACAGCTTTGCCTGTTTTTATGACGCCCAAGTTAAGGCTGTTCAATACACAGTGGTGTCTGTGAAGCCATCCCTTCCTCTCCCCCTCTCCTCAAAAGAGTGGGTGATGACAAGAACCCTCCCTTCTGCCTCCTCCTTTCTGAGCAGGGCAGGGCAGTGGGAGAAAGAGGAAAAAGGAAAAAAAAACAAAACAAAACAACAAAACAACCAAAAGAAACCAGACTGTTCCAAAGATGCACTTTGGTTTAACAAATGGGCAACTTCCCCTTGTAGAATAAACCTTCCCATCCAAAAAGGGATGTTTCTTTTCTCCTATAACCCACGATAAATTAAAACCAAGTAAGTCGTCTCTGGTTTGACACAATAAATACTTAGAATATATCAAATTAAAAAAATATAGTTACAAAAGCCTCAATGGAATCCTCTTTCTGACCTAACTACAGACAGATTCTTCACAGACAAAAGGTATCTCCGAAATCAGCTGCAGTTCCCCTCCCTGCTCACTGGGCTTGGTCAACAAGTGCTATCACATACCCTTTGGAATACTGTTAAGACAAAACAATATAGAGCACAAGAAATCTACTCCTAAATTTGTTTTTCATACTGCCAAGGGTGTAGGAAGCAACCATTGGTGGGGAACCCTCATAGCTGTGCACAGTGACAGAGTCACAGCACTAGAGTAACATGGACAGGGATACGAGGGGAAAACAGAGCCTAGGGAGGGAAGGAGGAGAGAGAACCCATAAAAGTTGGGAAAGGAAAAAGATGAGCAAGAAAGAGAGAGAAAGAGACCAATCAAGTTCAGCTGGACTTCCCAGTTCTGGCAGCAGAGCAGATGAGATGTTGAACAACAGGAAGAGTTCCTTGGGGTCTGTCATAACAAGGAATGTTGTTGGCATTTTCTTCACCATTGACAGTAAATAAGCAGAAGTAGTTAACCCTCTCGGACACTGACACGTGGCTCTGCCAGTGAGCTGTGGATGATGCCAATAATTGACTCAACGCCATCTCCCTCCAATAAGGTGCGGTGATCCCCTTCGATAACATGGACAGATACCTTCCCATCACATACCTGCAGAGATACAAAAAAGAGAAAAACTTTATATTCACAGTTCACAACCAGCTGGTCCCGTAGCTGTGTTGGGTTTGTCAGTCTAAGTTACTCATGGTTTGCACCACTGTTTCTATCAAACTCAGTTGAAAGCAGCACCACGTTTCCATGGCTCAGCTGCAAGGCACTGTTTGGAACCAGTGTTTTAAAGCATGATACTTTGACAGCCTGGCAGCTGATCTGCTCAGATGTATGCCAGGCAGGAAGTCAACCAACCTGATACTAACAGAATAATTTACCTAGAGTATCAAAGAATGAATGATCATGTGGCCACTTCCAAGCCCTCAAGAAAACTAAATTACCTTCCCCTTCACCTAATCCTTCTCCTACCACCATGAATCTTCCTTTGAAGTCCTTGT